ATATATATGATAATAATAATAGCACAAACGGTAGAAGCAGGAAAAGGGAGAGTCAGCAGAGCTTTCTGAAAACAATAGAGGGGAGGTACCAAATTATATAACAGTGTACGGATACGCGCAGTCAGACAATGTAAATAGGCCGTATGTAGAGATGACGTCACAAAAAAACAGTCAGTTCCTTCGGGAAACTGTCTGGAAAACGGGTATCAGGTGAATTTGACACATTAAATGAAGTGCAGCCTTTAGTTCACAGCGCGGTGCAACAGCAGATCGGAATGCGCGCCTAGACCCATTTGAAACAAAATCTCAACAAGGACTGCCGAGTAAAATGAGATATAAAAGGAATACAAAAAATCGAGGTACCCGAGCTGTCAAGTTGGCGCGGTGGATAGGGTGTCTGTCTGTCACCCTAGGGGTTCCGGGTTCGATCCTGGGGCGACCCGTCTCTTTCCGTCAGAACAGACACTCGAAAACGGTAGATTTGATATGAAAATTCAAGCGAAGGCGAACAGGCAATGAAATTATAACAAGGTTACTGGAGAGTAAGCAGGAGCCAAAACCCGCAGAACGAACAGCAAGGGACGAAAACGGTGGTATAATGAACAACCATAAATTACGCTTCTCCCGAGTAGTCCGAACAAATAATAACTACAACCACTAGTCACCGCTGAATTTCAAGAACCAACGCTATGAACATTCTACACTATGTATTTATTTGTGCGGCTTCTCTGAAGGTGGCATAAGTAGGTCAAGACGCACAGCAGTTTCTGAAGCATCTAATCATCGTTCAGTACTATATGGCCAGTGGGTCGGCCGATCTTGTCACGTGAGGTCACACGTGTCAGCTGTTGGCCTCAAGTCGACCAGGATAGTTTGGTGACGAATGTGAACTTCTTTTGACAGCAACAAATCGCTTTTCACAATCGTATCCTTGAGGTGTGATAATGCACTGGTTTTGTACTGCTGATTTTCTAGTGCTCTGAAAAGCTTTGTAAATTAGGCCAGAAATCTTGTGTACTGTGAGCCACAAGAGGTGCATGGGTCTCTGATGAAATAGTTGAATATGTCATTTTTAGTTGCATTAATATTCCGAATATCCGAATTCCGTCCCTTTGTAGCTGGCTCTCCTAAGACTGCCTGATGCTTCCAGGCAGCCCAATACTACCGGTTCTGACTTCTCATAAGCTCGTTAGAATAAACAAACTGTTTGAGTAGTATGTTTGCAAATGGCAAATGTCCATTTTTAGCCTAACATCCCTTTCTGGTTTGTTCTCAGTGTGCTTTGAGATGTGTTCGGATGTTTCTGCTATTCGTTATTTCTCCGGTGTATACAATGGATTACTTTTTATAGACTATCGATTCCAGTTCATCGGAGAATCAAACGATCCCATCTCCACCACATCCAACCGACACGGATGCACAATTAGCTACCTTTTATGCACGATCCAGACTACATCACCTCTCTTCGTGGGCCAATGAGCTGCGCGATTTGGTCCAGCAGCTTCGTGATGATCCAGCTTACTCCGAGTCGGGCTTTGGCGAAGAATGGAAGCGATCTGTAATTCTTCAAAGCACAGTTGACCCATCCGTTGTTGTCACGCTTCGCGCAAGTCAAACTCGTTCATCCACCAAGCACACACCGCCGCAGCATCGTGTGTACTTTCATATTGACATGGATTGCTTTTTCGTCTCCGTCAGTCTGCGTAATAGACCAGAACTAAAAGGTTTGTTGGGTTAGAGGCTGCTTCTCGCTTTCAGTTTTCGCTTTCTACATCCGTCTCATTTGGTTTGTCCCACAGGATACTTTCGCCTTCACAGTACAATGCCTGTCTTGTCAGTTATGCACTTTACTTCAGCATGCAAGGTACGGTAATCCCACTAAGGCAGCACATCAGAAGGATTGGGCCCTTTTGACCTTTCTTAGTGAGTGGCTTCAATTCCTAAGGACTTCATGGAAAGTGGTGAAAAACGCTGCTGTGATCCTCCTTTTATGGCTCCCTCTTTGAGGTTACCACTGTATAGTTTGACGTGAGTCAACTATCTATCCATGCACAGCCGGCTTTTCAAAAGAAGAACAATACATCAGTCGATGTCGTTCAAACTTCCCCCACTCTGATTTGCATTAGCTCCCACACAATGGTCCCAACAGCTGTCTTCATTGCGAATAGCTTAGTTTTTGTGTCTGGTCAAAACCGAGAAAGGCCCTTCTATTTAGTTCAGTTTTCCTAAGAAATAATTACTGTAAGTTCCGGAACTGTTCATTTTCTGCTTGTGGTTAAGGCGCGAACTTACTAACTGGAAGGTCCGTGGTTTGAACCCAGCCTCGTCACCTCGACTGCTCCTGTGTATGTGGGGGTAAACCGACGGTATCTCAGTCTTTCATTTTTTCGGGTGGCATGGCAGCTATGCATCTGAAATGTGTCACAGCTGAACGCTTAATTGTTTAACGTCATTGCCTTGTACCACACTACCGTGTCGTTTTTTTAGAGCTTGTATATGTATAGAGTAGGTGCTGCTGTTTGATTCCCACTGAAATGACAGATGTTACCACTTTAGGTCCAGTGTCGCCGTTCTAGCATATTTTGGATCATCATCGGTGATTGATCAAGTGGCCACTGATCTGTTTGCTGAGCGTGGTAATTGACTCGCACCCGTTTCACCACCATTGGAGAAGAAGTCACCAGTCCGCGTACCGATGACGATGGTTAAAGCAGACATTATTTTGTTCCTGCAGCTGCCTACAACGTAATCAAGCCCCCGTCCTTCAGGTGTACGACCGCAGAATTTGCAAGGTTTCTCTCTGGCTTGCTCTGAAATTACGTCTTAGAACAACAAGTTGCTGAGTTCAACTTACTTCTGGGTCCGATTTTTCGGTAGTTTAAATCGTGATCCTGTTTTCCAGTGGTGCCACAATGTAAAACGTTCGCCCAGACCTGACAAAACCATACGTTCTCGTGTATTTCCCTTGTTACAGACAAACCGGTGGCAATCACTCACGCAAGTTCATCAGGAGATGACAAGACTTCAATTCATCGGTGAGTGCGCTACTTCGTAAGTCATATTTTCGCCTAATAACCTAGACGGAATCGAGCGTCAGCAATGAGTGAAAGCGCCTTCATCGGCTACTCCTGTACTGGACCTATCAGGCTGCGCGGTAAGGAGAAGATAGAAAGCAAAACACGCCTATGGTGTCGGCCAAATATACAAAGCTAGTGCGTAAATATATGGGATTGACCAAATATGGTCAATAGCTTATCCGCTCTTGTCCAGTCAACAGCGGCATCCCTGTCCTGACAATTTTTCACACCCGCTCCCTTGGTCACACTGAGATGCCGCATTTCATGAGCTGCGCTCGTGCACCGGCTATCCGGATCGTGTGGTCATCGACGATGACCTATGCGATGGGACGTTCTCTGCACATATAATTTTCGGTCTGGACGCGTCCTAACACCCAACGCTTCAGCGACTTCAAGCAGCTGATGTGGTCGAGCCGCTCAATTACTCGTCTTGATCAGCACCGATTGTCGTCATTCGGAATACAAAGGAGTCCATCCGGCTGTGTGCGGATTTTTCAACAGGATTCAACGCTGCGCTGGAGCTACATTAGTACACGCTTCCAATGCCTGAAGACTTCTTCGCGAAACTAAATGCGGGTAAATTCTTCGCAAAACTTAATTAGGCCAATGCCTGCCTGCAAGTTCCAGTCGCACCCAGATCCGATTAATACCCACAAAGGATTGTTCCAATAAAACCATCTTGCTTTTTTTTGAGTTAAGACTGCTCCCACCATTTTTCCAGCATCCTCCGGACACAATGTCAACTGATATGCCAGGTGGCACCGCTTAACTAGATGATATCGTAACTGATTCAGACGGAAAAATGCCTATGTGCCAAGCTGGACACGACTCGGTGAGTATGGCTACCTAATCCGTCCCGAAAAATGTCAATAAAAAATCGTTCAGCCGCAGCACCCTAACTGCCATGCCACCCGAAGGTTGCCCGAGGGCTGGGATACTGCCAGGTCGCCCAAGCCTAGAGAGGGGAAGTCGAGTGGCAGAGGTCGGGTTCGAACCACGGACCTTCCGGTCAGTAAATTCGCGCTCTAACCGCTTGGGTCATCTCCTTCCCCCCATGTCAATAACCAGATATCTTGGTTTTACTATTGACCATTCTGGTTGACAGTCCGATTCGGACAACGTAACAGCAATCAAAGCGATGCTGCCACTGTGCGGCGTGCCGACTTTTCTAGATCTGGTTGGTCATTACGGTGCCTTCTTGTCGGAACTTCATCGCACAGGGACACGGACCACAGAGTGTCAACAGTCTTTTGAAAGAAAGAAGTAATTATTCATCTTGAGCCTACTTTTCACGGATTTTAACCCTGAACTTCCGCTTGTGGTAGCATGGAATACATGCAGTATTTGACACCATGATATATCGTATTTTTTCTGAGGCATTGGAAAAGGCAGTTGTGCATGTAGTCCGCTCACTCACTCCAGCTGAGCAATATAAAAATCATATTGAAAAAAGCCCTAGTCCTTATCCTTCATAACTTGATCTCTAGTCGACGATTCACTGTACTGACTGTTCACAAGCCCCTTGTAAGTATATTTGGATCTAACAAGGGCACACCTGCATACACCGCAAACTGATTGCAACGGTGGGCCGCTGCTCTTCCAGGATACGACTTTTTTGATTAAATACCAAACAGCCGCCTCCTTCGGACAGACCGATGCACTATCGCGAATCACTGGATCTCATAATGAGGTTGCTGAAGACACAGTGATGACAGCTGTCAACGTTGAATCGGACGTCAAGCGCATCATCTCCCCGACGCTGTCCAAGCATTCCCACTAAGCATGGCCACTCAGCGCAACTATGTGCTGCATCATGAAATTCATTCGACCTGGCTGGCCCAGAGAGAACGTCAACCTAGAGGGTCGTCAGTACGCTAATTGTCAAGAAGCTACCATTGCTAGACCACAAAAACCATTCAGTTGTTTCAGGTAACCACACACAGCAGTAACGGACAATGGTACGCATATCAATTCAGCTCTCTTCAATGACCTCTGCTGCATCTACGATCACCGCTCTACTACCCTCGAACAAATGGACGGGCTGAGTGATTTGTGGATAACTTTGAACGAGCTGTGTTGAGCCTTTGGGGGAGGGACCGCCGTAGAATGTGATCGATGGTTTCTCAACCAACTACCAAATGGCACCAAACCTAAATACGCCAAATGGGGGAAGTCTCCAGTCGAGGTTACGTTTGGGAGGAAAGTGAAGACATTGATACACTGCCGCCCGAGAAAACTAGAGAGAATGGGGGCGAACACCAATCAGAAAAATTCGACGGCAAATGTCGCACTGGATATATTCTCAGCCGCGGCGATGCTGTTCTTGTAACAGACTATTTGACGAATCGCTGGTGTTCGGGAGCGGTGTTGCAGCGAAGAGGAAATGTCGTGTGTGGTAGATGTTGGCGGAGTGGTGTTGATTCGGCATTGCGCTCGACCCGGTATCATCCATGAAAGAAGAGCGAATTTACCGTTAGGTCTTCTTGAAGCGTTTTAAGATGCGTTCGGAGGATGAGTCGATAGAATTAGACCCTGACGGCAACTCATCTTTGATGCGAAGAACTTGGCGACATAGAACTCTAAAAAAACCCGGACTGAGAATGCACAGCATGTCTCTCCGAACGGAAAATTGCATGTACAGATAGCGACGCGTCCCATAGGTCATCGTCGGTGACCACACAATCCGGATAGCAGGCGCTTGTGAAACATGACATTGCAACATGCGACCAGGGAGGTGGATGTGAAAAATTGTCAGGACAGAAACGTCGCCATTGACTAGACAAGGGCGTACAAGCAATTGGTCATATTTGGTCGATCAGGCATCCTATATATTTGCGTACTTAGTATGTTTGGCTGACAGTATAGGTATGTTTGTTCTTCTGTTTGCTCCTTTTCGCGTAGTCTGGCAAGCCCAATTCAGGCGTATCCGATAGGTGTTCTCGTGTTACAACATCGGGAAATTTATGGGAGTTTTGAAATGTGATTTCCTCCGTATGCGCTGGGTTTTCTTTCGGTAACGTTGCTATTGGTTTTTGGTCGAAAGTTGTTATTGTTTTCATATTCGGCTAATTTTGATCTTCGCGAAATTCACTGCGTTTGATGTCTGTTCGTTTAACTTTCGTGTTCTTCCATACCACCTTTGTAATATGACAGAAGAAACCATTTTGACCATCTGGAGTCCTAGCAAATTGTATTTGTTGGCGTATGCATAATATGTTTTCGCTATTCGTAAACACTCGTCAGCACTTTTGTCAATTTCGATCCCAAATTGATGGTTATTTTTTCTCATTCGAAATGCCTCTCGAAGTACCTGCTTCCAGTTTCCACGTAAACCGGGCGTTAAAGCTGCAAGTGTGTTCTAAACGTCTTTCCGCTACAGAGAACCATTTTCATTCTATCTAATTCGTGTTAGAAATGATCCGCTGTCTAATCAACTGTCTTTTGAAATTTAGTTGAAGCAGTCCAAAGCGATTGAGTTGTTTCGTACTTCGCTGGCGTAGGTTACCTCGTTCAATGGCACGTGATTGTTGTTTATAAGGTATTGAATCAGATTTCCATGCCTTTCGCTGTTACAGACGTTCCGGGGTGCATTCTATGTCTGAGGTGGCATCCTGTTCGTATACGGCAAGACAAGTGAGTTGATACGCTTTTTAGAGATTCATTGATTTTTCCAGTGACGTCGTCAAATGTATTGTGGGTAGAGTCACTCCATTGCCCGGAGTGACAGTGACCAATCAAATCGAAGTTATAACACTATTATTTACTGCGTTTTTATTAAGAGTAGTTGAAGCAGACCCGACAACAGCTGCACTATTTTTCTTTTGGGAGCGACGACTAATGCTATTTTTCCATCACGATCAGCTGCAAAGCTGGGACTCTGCGATGCTCTCCATTGAAATTTCAAAACATTTTCATTACCTACATGCAGTCTGTCCACAAATGAAAGAAATCTAGGTAGTTGCATGAGTCTCTCAGTTGATAAACTGTTGCCCGAGGGGCTGGCCAACTGCGTTCGACACTTAGAGGAAGAAGGTGGTTAGACGAAACTTGAAAGCAAAACTGCGAGCAGCATCTCCCTGGCCACCACTTCAGAATGCCTACCAAACAGACCAGGATTCAACACATTTCTACGAAAGCCCTGATAGACCAACCTCGGAAACACGACATAACAGAATACTGTCGAATAGCTGATAGCCATTTGAGAGGGTCCAGGGTGCGCAACAAATGGCCGAGGCGGAAGGTCTTCTACCAAGCCGTGAACGAGAGCGGTCAGCCTGCACGAATCAGATATGCGCAGAAACTTCTATCTCATCTCCCGGCCCGAGGCGTCGCTTCGTTGAGGAGAAGCACGCAGCGACATGGCGGTTGTGGTTTACCTTGTGGCTCCAAATCGAGACACTAAACAATCGTGTATGAGAGCTAGACTGAGCGCGTTAATAAACGTTTATCTAGTTGCATGGCTTCTTGCTACAACGTGACATGAAGAGAATAGGGATCGTTGCGCTATGTCCTGCATAATCACACTTCGGATCAGTCACACATGACCAAACGGGTCAGCGTTCGATTACCAAACAGGAATTCATGGGATATGCACTTCTGATGATTCTAAATACGGATGAAACAGCTGTACAGTGTTCGGCGTTTCAGTATAGATCGGCCTCACTGAATAGGTGAAATATTTGTTGGAACTTCAAAGTTTCGCTACCCTCAGACCTTTTACAGCGTATATTTGGAAAGATCGCTTTTAACTTTTGCTCTCTGTGAATGCCCCGCTAACGAATGGGGATGTGCAGCCACTAATAGGCTGTTGATTCGCCAAGTGACCATCCAGTTATTTTATGGGTGTGCTATTCGACGTGCTCTCTGGCACTCCACCGTTAGTACTCTTTTAATGAGCACATTTTGATTTAATGACTGGCATCATCGCCAAGATCATCTGCCTTAAAAGTCGGGTTTCAGTCCATGCTTTGCAGCCCAGCATTGCATACCTCTCGACTGATCTCCGTCATATGGCATTTCCATCTGCTTCCCTTAACGTTTCGTATCAACGCAAGTTACTGAACTATCACGGCGAACTATTTGAACTGCACTGACTTGTTGAGTATTGAATTTATTCGCTTTTCACGGATTTTATGCAAGACACCATACGCTTAAGGTACCTATGGAGGCAGCGGCTGATATCGTTTATGCCCGAATCCAGGAGTGACAGTAGAATTTTCGCGATGAGTCTAATCTAGTGCGGATTCTCGTAGCGATTGTGCGACCTAGACTCAAAGTCCACTCCTGCTTCAGCTGCAAGAAGTGCCCCTTAAAGCCCAGAAGGTTATACCATTCCGCGGCTCAAAAAACCATGATACGACTTCGGATGTTGTAACCGCTGGGTGTAACACTAATAGCCATAACTTACTCTCAGACGGCTATCTCCTGTGCTGGGTTTGGGTGTCTTTCGGAATTTCTCGGATACGTGCCGCCCACACTAGGCGGTAATAAGGTGTTCCTACATTTACGGAAGCAGTTTTCTCACTTTGACGAAAGATGCTCAGGCAAGGCCAGCCTTCGAAGCCCTTTAGTTTAATCGCCCAAGTATCGTCATCGCCGGCAACTTACCCAACACGGTCGAAGAATTAAATACAGTTCCGCACTCGTCTATTGCGCGTGGTAGCATCGAGAATCAAACTTCTGCGCCTTACTCCTTACGTCCTTGGGTCAGGCTGACCTCCCGGTGCCAGGTGTTTCAGACTGGAACCGTTGGTTCAACGGTAGGGCTTCCATGAAAACACCTCTACCTGTTATCTTTTTAGTCAGCCTGTTGAGTTAGAGGCCACAAGCAAGATATCTGAGCAAAAGCGCATATCCTTCTACCGCTTTGTGGATCAGACTTTTGAGCCAATCTGAATATGGATCTCTTCAAGAAAACCTTTTCCTCCAGCTCGGACAACCGGACCACCTGCCAGCTTCTACTCTTCTTATCCCCTTATCAACACTACTCTGTCTGTTCGGTCCGTTCCCTATGATCCGGAGGAAAACCGTTCACTACTTTCAAAAATGCAGTTGTCAAAACGTTTTCAACATCATTGATCCAGACAGTTGTCGGATACAGAACGAACTTCTCATTATAATGAATGTGGCCTCCAACTTCTGAATCCAAAGGAACCCATGGCCGAATCCTGTTCTAATCTCAACTATTCGTGGCTCTAGTTAAAGACCTATACCGTGATGATATGGGACCTCAATCCACACTTGACCCTTAATCTCGATACTGACAAAAAAAGCCGTGGCTAAAGAATACCAAGAAAATGGCGGTCAAGACGGAATCCGCGGACCTCCGCTGCAACACATCCGTAACTAAGAAAAATGCCGATCAGGAAAGTCGTCACTGAGATAAACAGTTCTAAAATTGATTCTAAATTCCATCATCTAATTCGATGGGTGGAGGTTGTTATGTTCTCTACTGATCAGTCAATCGACCTTGTCAGCTACACACGGAATTGAGAAGACAAAACCCTGAGGAAATTATACTGCAGCAACTGAATAGCCAATATCGAGATTCGAAGAATCAAGAATGGAATGGAACAAAACAGTCCAATGAAAGGCTGAAATAGAGAGAGAGAAATATTGAGCAGTATGTTCGTTAGGAGGAGTGCCTCCTAACAGAGGTTTTCCGAAAACTGTCTGACCAGTCGTTGGGAAGTATTCAGCTGTAACACCCTTTCGCCGCATAGTTCCCAAGACACAAAGTAAGCACAGAAGCTGAGATACTGTCAGTTATTTCGAGAATCTAGCAAGTAGTCACCCTTGTTGGATATCATCCACTTGATACCTTTCTGAGCCTTGTCTCAGCAGGTGTTCGCTTTGAAATAAAGATAAAGGTAAGGATATTTTGGTACGAATGGCTTAAGTTTCCCTGCACATCGATGGATTAGACTGTTCTTCTCAGCAATCTAGAGGGTAGATATGACCAGTTTTTTTGACAATGCCAGGTTTCTGAAAAGTCTTCGATAGCCCACTACTGGTTCCACCCTTCTTGAGGCTCCCCTGCTTTGCCCACTCCCGAAGTTTTCGTTAACCTTATGTTCTACGTAAACACCAAATTGTACGTAAACGTCGAAGTGCACCCATGCAGATAAATTTCGTATTATATCAAGTGACTGAATATACCTGGGGAAGTTATGAGAAGAACGAAGAAAGCGAACATAGCTTGTTTTCTGTGATTTTTTCTGTTGGCTAATTTATCACGAATTCATATGGTACCTGAAATCACGTTAAGAAGGTTAACATCCGAGGTACATGCACTTTACAGAAAAAGAAATCGAAGGAAGGGGGTTGAATGAGGGGTAGATCAATGGGTCACGGAATCAAGCAACTGGTGCCAATGACAGACAGGCTTGTGAGACCTAATTTTTGCAGGCCAGTTCAACATCAGAGGTTGCTCATGCTTCTTTTGGACGCAAAGTTGTGGTTCGTATTCCAATCGCATCTGCGATCGATGGTATTCGGGATCGTAGCAGTCGTGATAGGATCAGAGGTAGCTGGTTTATGATAGTGTAGGCTTCATCTTCGTCGATGACATGACTGATTTCGGCCAAATGAGGTGCAGTTACACTTGAGGCTGGTTTCTCCCAGCTACCACTTATAGACACGGGACTGTTTTCTCGCATTCTTTCCAATAAATGCCTTGTCGTACGACCCACTTATGATGCTGGTGTCGAGTTTACAAACAAGCACACACAAAAGCTGCTGGCAGGAAGTGGCGATTTGTCTTTTAAACGGGAAGTGATAGTGGGACTGGAATTGAAACTGAAACACAGGTCAGCAGCCATGTGTGTCGTATTAACAGAGTTTCTAAGCCTTCTGGTAATTAGTTCAGCAACCGGGTCACTTTTGAATGAGAGCCTCATGTGGACGGGCTTCTTCCCACCGGAAAATTGATTAGGTTTTGGCCTAACGGATTGCGTAGTCTTGTGCGGATTGCTTGTGGGGTACAACGATTATCGGTGGGGACGTGGATGTTGAAACCGTTTCGTATACGCTACTAATTAAAACCAAGTAACATAAAATTGATGTCAATTTTCTTGACAGGTAGGCCTATCTCCGCCTCGGTTGACATCCAGTGAAATTACGATGTGTAACACAGTCGCAGCACGTCCATCCTCATTAATGATCTGCTTTACATTTGATATAGGCTGGCATCCGGAATGGAATGTTACTCGGTCAGGCGCGACAACTGTGTCCTGAATTGATTACTCTCCCGTATGACTTCGAGGCTTACAAAGAGGTCTCTGAGGTTTTGTATCGAACCGTTTCACTGTAAGTTTTTTCCCGTTCTCAACTATTATTGTTCCATATCAGATATTGTCATCAATAAGACATATCATATGCAAGTGGCATCTTGTATAATTGGATGGATTCGACTACATTCCCTTTTCTCCATATTGCAAATGAGAGTAGTTCGTGAACTACGTACAACCTAAGACTGCCGAGAACTCGGAGGCCACATATACCTGATGAACCTAATGAAGGACGAAGCCTGTCTTAGCCTTTGGAAGAATTTTCAGCAACTCAATGAGTAGTATATCTAGTCTAGACGATAAGTGATTTGCTTGAAGTCTACCCAAAATGCATTGCTCCCTAGC